CTTATAAAAATTTCGAAACGGGAAATAGTTTACGTCCGATTCGCATACCTACAGAATTTACACACCAAATTTCATAACGATCGGTGAAGTCGTTCCGGAGGAGTTAGCAGACAAACACTGTGACAGGAGAATTTTATATATTAGATATGTGTCCGTTAGCACGATAACTCAAGCAAAAATGATCCGATTTTGATGAAATTTGGTACAAACGTGTAAACCTACGTTTATTCGAACGAGTTCGCGATCCAGCATGATCGGACTATGGGAACGAGGGTTTACGGGGGGTTTTATGGGGTAAAAATAGGTTTTTCCCATTTTTGACCCAAAAAACATAAAATTTGGCAATTTTTTTCCAAACCATTTTGTAGAGCTTAAAAAACAAATAATTTAGTATATTGAAGCGTTATTATGCGCCTAATGGTTACGGAGAAAATTCCAAAAAATTGTAAATTTAAAATTCCCATGTTATTCTTATGGAGAATAAGTAAACTGTTGTAGTTTGCTTGTTTATGAACATATTTTGATCAAATTTGGAAAACGTTTTTATTTCTTACTAACTATTAACATTTTACAAAAAAAAAAAAAACAGTTTTACCCTCCCTGATGCAGCAAACCTAAGTACTTGTTAAACTAATTCTATTTAAATCAGTGTACATCCAATCAGTCAAATGGAAATTCGCTTAGTCTGCAGGTTTGCTGCGGCGGGGGTATTTTTAGATCTCGTGAAAACCCTTTGTCCTACAGGCTTTTAAAATTTCAGAGTTTGTGCATAATTCTGTTGTCAATCATCTGAACTGTTTCAAGCTTACATTTGTTTACATGAAAACAGATGGCCATGATCGAATTTTGTTTACATCCATAGGGATATTGGGTTATCTGTATGTAGTTGGTGATGTTTCAGTGAATTCAAGTAAAATATTATAATGCTATCTGTATAAAATGTAAAGAAGAAAATGACTTACGTTGGATTTTGTGTTGTGATAAGATTTTTTGTTTTCATAGTACTAGATAACCTGTTGCTCGAAATTGAACAAAACTGCAACTTGTAAATAAAAAAATAAACAACAAAACATAAACAGCAAGACCTCAATCAAAGAGTAATTCTAAAGTCTAAGACTGATTATAGAAGTATGAAAAATATTACGTTATAACAAATTATAAAACTAACCTACAATATATTTAAATATATTGATTTTTAATCATAGAAAACCCATATGAAAAATGATTTTTATGTTGGTTGTTCACCTATTTTGCTTGAAACTTGTCCAATTTGAATAACTAATAGCTTAAATGAAAGCCGGTATTTCACTGAAGGTTCTTAGACCGAAATATGTAGGACTATATAATTATAACTGGTGAAATACATCTTAAAATGAAGTAAGAATTCGAAAATGAATCAAATGATGTTTTTTGGTCGAGTAATACAGTAGGTAAATACATGCCGATGCTTGATGGCAAATCTTTGCTTGCATGCCTTCAATTTAAAAACCTCAATCATGAAAATTGGTCGAGTAGAAGAGCCAAATGAACTCAGAAAAGATAAACCAAATTTAACTCCCAAAAGGAATACATAGCCTAGAGGGCAAATTTTGTTTACGGATAATCCGAGTAGGATTATATATAAATGTATACCGATGCTTGATGGCAAATCTATGCGTTCATACTTTGAATTTGAGACTTAAATCATGAAAATCGGTCGGGTAGAAGAGCCAAACGAACTCGGAAAAAAAAACCAAATTTAACTCCCATAAGAAATACACGGAGAGCAAATTTCGTTTACGTACAAACCGACTGAGACTATAGATAATAATATGCCGATGCTTGATGGCAAATCTGTGCGTGCATACCTTCAATTTGAGACCTCAATCATGAAAATCGGTCGGGTAGAAGAACTAAACGAACTCGGAAAAGAAAAACCAAATTATTTTAATATATAAGATTTGCCAAGCTGTAAGTTACCAAGCACGTGTTTCTAACTCCGGTGTAAACGCAGCTTTATCAATTGAATTCTATGAGACATCAACATAAGTTGTATTTTTATTTTATGAACGAACGGTGGGTGTACGATTATTTGAGATGATCTGTATGGCCTACTTACCCTAGCTTATTCTCAACCTGGACCATTTATTAAAAGCCAATGATCAAGGCTATGTACCTACTTGTAAATTTAAACCTCATAAATTTAAACTTAAATTTTTCACAGCAGTAAATAAGTAAGTACCTAAGTAACCTAGCACAATGCTTCATGGAAAACAATTTAGAAATTAATGTAAAAAAAATTATGTAATTTTTAATCAGAGATAAAATTAAAAAAAGATTTCAACTTAAACATTTTAATTGATGATCAACATAGAAGAAGTAAAAACATCGGAATTCCTAGGACTTATTATAGACCAAAATTTAAATTTTAACTCACATATTGAGCACTTATGTAAAAAACTTTCCCAAATTATTTTTATACTAAGAAGATTGTCTATGTTCTGTAGGTAGGTAGTGAAGACGCATTACTCACTGTATATCATTCGTTAATTATTTCCAATATTAGATATGCAATAGCCTATAGGCCAGGTATCTATCTATATATTAATAGGCAAGCATGTTTCTTTAAAACCTTTTTTCTCAGCTCGTGTGCATCGTAGGGAAAATCTACGCATACCGTTGGAAAGCTATTTTCCTGTAGGTGTGCAGAATCCCTTTATAAATTTAAATAGGCTCAAAGATAAGCACAAAAAATGAGTTTAAAAATTTGAAAAAATTAACATGGATCTTATGCGTTGCTATGCTGGTTACGAAATAACAACGAAATATAAACAGAAAATCAAAACAAATGGAGGAAACTCCAATCACATGTTTTATTTACAGTGTGGGGTGAAAATAGATAAGTGAGTACATTACATATTTTTGGTCGAGTCTCGACCACTGGACGACCTCTCGTTTACCTTATTATATGGGGCTCAACTTCATCAAAAACTAAACAAATATTTAAATTACAAAAGTCTGCATTGAGAATTATTTTCAAATTAAAACCACACCAATCCTGTAAAAGAGTATTTTTTTAAATTACCAATTTATGACCTTTTACTCAATATATATTTATGAAACATTACTATTTTTAAAGAACAATTTTGAGAAATTCTGGAAAATTATTAATTACCTATGTGAGAAGAATTATGATTTGAGAAAATTACAAATATTTCATTCTACTTTCCACCAAACAAAGTTTTATGAAAAACATCTTTATCACAACGGAAGAAAATTATTTAACAAACTACCAACTAATATTCAAAACCTAAAATTAAAACAATACAAAAGAAAAGTTAAAAGAAATCTTTACTGAAAGTCCAATCATCTACTCTCTATTGAAGACTTTAAAGGAAAAATGCATCAAAATTTAAAGTTTTATTTAATACTAAACCTAATTGTACTGTTGATACAATTTATATTGTCAAGACAATAAAGTATTTAAACTAACAATTTGGTTCATTATAACCTAAAAACATTTCATTCCTTATCTAACCTAACTTCAAAACAATACAGCCCCAAATTCACATAAAAAGTATAACCTACCATTCTCATGTGCCTAAATAAGACAACCTTAAAACAAATTTTTGGGTGAAATTAAGTTATCCGTTTGCTCAAAAAGTACCCAGCAGAAAAAAGTGCTTAAAATTGCCTAGCCTAATTTAGTCAAATAAACAAAAAGATGTCAAAAATCGCAAGAGTAGCTTAATTTTATAAATACGATAAGTTACTTTTTGATCATTTATACACTAAGTTTATTTTAATTCAACCTTTTTAACTTGTTTATAAGAGGTATGGGTAACTGTTTTAACATTTAGGTAGGGTAGGCCTAATATTTATTCCGAAAGTGTGATGTGCTTGTTCAAAGCCTGAATAACTTAATTTTTTACTGTGTCTAGCCAAAGCAACACTAAATAAACGTTTGGCCACTTCATCAAGAGCCTACTGAAGACACTCAAACTAACTTAACCAAATATGTTAAACAAAACGTTTGTAAAATCACGTAAGTAGCTTAAGTTCCTAATAACCAAGTGTTGTGCCTTAATGTTAACTTAATGGTTGTGTTTTAAGCTTATCCATTAAGCTTATAGGCCCTAGGTAAGTTACTGTACTAGCAATGCCACATAAAATAACATGTCATCACTGTGTTCCACTTCTGAACCCCAACTTAATTGTTATCTAAGTTAGTGTATCCGTTAGGCTAAGTTAGCCTTTATTTATTATAACTGGCTGAGTGGTTAAAGTGCTTGTCCAACAGTCAAAAAGGTCACCGGTTGATCCTGAGAATAGGTTTTAAAAGTCATAGACAAAAAGAATTAAATATAGACTCAGCCATGCTGCAGTTACCATAGGTTCTGGCTCACACCGCTGGGAGCGCCGTGTAGTTAAAGTAGCGCGTACGCCATGGGTACACTTCCATATTTGTTGGCACAAACAACCGAATGAGTAATATTGATTATTCGATTGTTTAGTTCGATATATCGTTTGGTTAGTTAGGTTAGGTTAACCTTATCTAACTAACCAAACGATATATCGAACAATCGATATATCGATTGATATTTTCATTCGGTTGTTTGTGCCAACAGATATGGAAGTGTACCCTACGCCATAACTACATGGCGCTCCCAGGGGTGTGTGCCAGAACCTGTGGTAACTACAGAACATCTGTCGGTCTATACCTATTTAATTCTTTTTATCCATGGTTAAGTATAGTAGCCAGGCCTAATTGAGTGTTAGAAACTGGACGAGCTGTCCCTGATCTTAGATAACTTACTGACTAAAGTAACAGCTGATCTTAGTGAGTAACGAAATTACAGAGATCATCTCACATTCTGCATTCATCCTTCACTCATATTTTGGTTGAAATGTACACCCAGGCTGCGTCCCCATCTCAAATACTTGACGAGATGATGATTATTGATGTATCCAGGCTATCAAAAGGATTATAAGTTAGGCATTTATTAAATGAAAATATAGGCTAATTAAGAATGGAATCTTTATTTGACATTTAAGCCCAGCCTAAGTTACTGTTTTTAAGCAGAATTTTCAAAATGAGTAAGCTTAACCAAGAACAATTTGAGACATAACAGTTAGAATCAAAAGGTGAACATAGATACCATAACTTACACATAAATATTGTGGTCTTGAATTAACTCTTTAGATTGGCTTTATTTTGAAGTGCAGTCCAATGAGGGAAAATACCAGACACTTCAAATCTTGAACCAAATAGTAAAAGCACCTTAGTCCTTCAGGGTCCCTGGAGTTATTTACATCAACTAGAGAGCCAGTTTTTGATGTTGTGAAGGAAATGTGTTCATCGCCGATGACGATCTCTAGTTCTTGTCTACCCACTCGGTCCGGCTGAGGCCACAGTGAATCGTCCTCCTGCATTATTTCAGAGTCATGTATGATGCGTTTAAGCTCGTCCATCACACAGTTGTGAACATAGGCTTCTTTGCGAATCATTGTATCATTTTTATAGTTAGAATTATTGGCATACCTCAACTTGCCATCAGGTCGGAATTCGAACTCCAAAAATTCGTGACCAAACTTCCCTTTATGTCCTACATAGTATCGGATATAAAAGTCAGTGGACATTATGAATCCCTGATAACTTAACTTTAAAATCACTGTTGAGTTCTCAGCGAAAACTGTTAATGTTCTAAACAGACTCAAAATCAATTATGACACACAAATACCAAACTAACTAACCTCAACCCAGCGTCCAGACTACAGAGGGGACAGGGGAGAGGCTTCGTTCTTCTTCTTCTTAGGTACGAGCGAGACCGGTGGGGCACACGGGAGGGACTAAGGCTAACATATCTTGTAGTGTCAGCGTTCGCCGCTAGGACTGCTAAGTTGAAAAAATGTAAATTAACTTTTAATTTTTTGTTATAAAATTAACTTTTTATTTATAAAATTAATTTTTAATTTTTAAAATTAAACTGTCATAACATAACCTAACCAACCAGACTTGCTGATAATATAAAAACTATATAAGATAAAAATCTAATTAATGATTACTTATAATTTTTAATTAATTATAAAATTAATTTTAAAATTTAGTATTATAAAATTAAACTGTCATAACCTAACCTAACCAACCAAACTTGCTGATATGAAAAATTTGTTGACAAAAAGTTAGTGTTGCCGGCGGGTTTCGAACCCCGGACCTCCTGAACACCAATCCGAAACGCTACCAACTATGCCACGAACGCCGCTGCAATCACTTCGTTTCGTTACGGTAATCGTGTCGCCTCAAGAGAAGACATTAACCACTAGAGATATGACGTCACTACACCTTTAGCCTTAGTCCCTTCCGTGTGCCCATTCCCGAGCGAGACCGTTCACGGATGACCACAACCCCCCCGAAACGGCACACGGAAGATTTCTCAGGTGCCGTTTGACGTCACTAACTGCTGACGTCACTTTGAGGGAACACCAATACCGCAACGATACGGTTTTGAGCCATCGGCCTCGGTAGTGCAGTGGATAGCGTTGCGGGCTGATAAGCCGAATGTTCCGAGTTCAAATCCCGCCGGCAGCATTAACTTTTTACTAACAATTTTTTCATATCAGCAAGTTTGGTTAGGTTATGACAGTTTAATTTTATAATTAAAAAAATATAAAATTGAATTTTAGGCAATTATAATGTTATTTTATGAACAAAACTATTTTTTAGATTAGTAAACCTTTATATGATTTTTCCATTATCAGCACGTTTGGTTAGTTTGGTTAGGTTATGACAGTTTAATTTAATAATAGAAAATTATAAAATTGTCTGTTTCTTCAGACGCAGCAGTTAGTGACGTCAGCAGTAGTGACGTCAAACGGCACCTGAGAAATCTTCCGTGTGCCCCACCGCAACCCCCCGCCACCGCGCCGTGGGACAGCGGAATTGGAATCGGAACGGTACATCGATGCGCGGCTTCTTCTTCTTCAAATCCCAAGCCTCCTCAGTCCACAGTCCTCATTAGAACAAAGGGGACAGCTCACTTACTCTACAGATCATAGACTATACGAGCTTCATAAATAATATTGAAGGTTCACTTGCACTACAGGCTCGTATACTATACGAGCCTATCGAAAATAAAAAATAAATGAAGAGGGTTCACTTACTCTACAAATCATTGTGCCTATAAGCCTCGTGTATTATATTTAAAAATACAGTAGGAAGGTTCGCTTACTCTACAGATCATAGTGACTATGAGCCAAGCGTACGAATTATTTGATAATTCAGGAATCGGCTCGTATAGTATACGAGCCAAAATCATGAATCAATATAAATTATAGGAATACTAGGCTCGTATACTATACGAGCCTGCAGAAAAATATTAGATGGCTCACTTACACTACAGATCATTGGCACAATGAGCTGTAGAGTAAGTGAACCCTCTTCAATATATTAGATGGTTCACTTACTCTACGGCTCATTTGGCTACTCGTTGCGCGGTTTGCGTTCGTGAAACTCTAGGCGCTATGCCCGGCTTTGACTGCTGCGACTGCCTACATAAGTGTATTGCATCACCTCAATTATTTATTAACACGAAATAAATAAGTATGCGCAAGTAAATTTATTACATTTTTGGACTGAATACTTCAAAAATAGAGGGAGCGTGACTTTAATGTTTTAATTTAATTAAACGTTATAGAATAAAACATATTTTGAGTAATATCAGGTAATATAATACACACTTGTATGATCCAGATACAGATCTACAGACAAAATCTGTGGTCCAATTTAGATTAAATTTGGTATCTGGCTTTATCCCCGAGTCACTAATTTTTTAAGCACGGGTTGAGAAATAATGGCAAAAATTTATAAAAACAGTTCACCGGTTTAACATATTTCTCAGTTATTGTGAGTTGCAAAATAAATTGTATACAAAAGCATTTGTGTACACAGAAAATATAGAGGACTAGATGTATACAGAAGATATATAAAAAAAACAATACGCATACAACTATCAACGTTTACTTATGTAAAATTAATGAATTTGTTGTATTGAGTATTTTTTACATTATGACAAAGCCTTAACAAAAAATATTTTTTTTAATGTTACTCTAAGAAGTTCTAGGGTGTTAAACTATATTGTAATTATCTTTTGTGGAAGATTCTGTCCACGATTAATGATTGCTAACAATTTAATACAAACAATTAAGTCTCTGTACGTGAAGACTAAATACCCCCGCCGCAGCAAACCAGCAACTAAGCGAATTTCCATTTGCCTGATTAGATTTACACTAAAATGTCTACTTAAAAATATAACATTTATTTCCTATTTAAATAGAATTAGTTTAACAAGTACTTAGGATTGCTGCATCAGGGAGGGTTAAACCATAGATAAAACATACTCCGTTAAACTGTTTTTTTATGTTAATAGTTGGTAAGAAATAAAAACATATTCCAAATTTTATCAAAATCCTAGCTGTTTGCCCGTTCTACGTACGGGAATCTTGTAGTAGGTTGAAACCTTATATTCAGAACAGGAGTTGGTTTGCATATTTAGTGTGCATTTTTCCAGATATGCTGGTTAAACTATTACTGTATAGGAATACATAATAAACCTTCGCAAACACAATATCTGACAGTTTCAAAGCCAAAACGAATGCTTCGCAATTAAGTGTCAACCGATCATGTTAGTCCATATTTTATATCTAATGATAAAAGGAACTGCTTTATAGATCTATGAGGCATAAGTAGAGGAATTTAGCGGCTCCTGCGGGAGTGAGCGTGTGAGCGTGTGACGTCACACGACGCCGCCCCCGCCCCCGACACCCCCGCCCCCGACGCCACCCCCACCCCGACGCCACCCCCGACGCCAACCCCGACGCCACCCCACCACCGGCGCCACCCCCGTCGCTAACCCCTACCACCCTCGGGCAGGTTCAAGGTCATCCTTTGTTGTCTGGAACCACCCTACGCATCGTGGGAGGTCTCCAAGCCAACCCTCCCTACACCATCACTCACTGTCAGCCGCAGCTGCTCCCCAACACCTGCGCTCCAAGCGGCCCCCCGCTCCTCCCTTGTTTTCTTTGTTCTCCGCATAGCGCACACTTATTTACCACCAATAGGATGTTAGCTTATTTCGACCAATCAGAGAGCAGTTTTGTTCTCCGCATAGCAACAAGTCGCTCGTCTCACGCTCCCCCGTCGATCTCTATTCAGTCTGCTCCCAGCTACCACAGTGATTAGACGTATTCGTGACTCTATTAAATCGAGTAATTTATCCATCACGAGTTCGCGCTTTGTGTCATCATTGGATCATCACAATAATAATTGTAAGTATTTTATTATTAAATAACAATTTTTCTTTTCATTATAAGTGTGAACCATTATTAGAAGTGAACTATGATTATTAAATATCACATTTCAAACTACGTTTAATAGTATTGATAAATGTAAGCATTTTATTATTATATTTATAAAAATAATCATTTTAGTTTTGTGAAGTAGTAGTGGGAAACAATAGTATTCCATACAACTAATTATCAAAGATAGTATTTAAAGTGATTACTACATTTGAATTTCATGAATTAGTAGTGGGGAAATGGGACATTCCCACCCGTCACATTAAATATTTAAAATATGTTATTGAAAGTGATTGTACATTTACATTTTGTACATTAGTAGTGTGGAAATAGACATTTTATCACGTATTATAATTATCAACGATAGTACTCAAAGTGATTACTACATTTCAATTTTGTAAGTTAGTAGTGCGGAAACAGAGACTTCGTCACATATTATAATTAACAAATAAAGTATTTAATGTAATTATTATATTTACATTTGTGTGCATTACTAGTGAGGTAACATACATCTCCAGCTATCATACAACGTATAAAATTTAGTATTTAAAGTGGTTGTTATATTTAAATGATTTTTATTTACATTCGGTGTATTAGTAGTGTACAAACAGATATTCCATCACATATTAAAATTATCTGTTGTACTAACAGAAAAATATTTGTGTGCAATAGTAGTGGGAAATAGATTATTTAGTCAGTACACTAATCACATTTCGATGATTCAGATTATGGAGAATGTCCTAGAACGACCATACGTGTGCGCCATTTGCGGCAGCAGCTTCAGGCTGAAACAGCATGCTGTTGAGCACGTCAGGACAGTTCATAGAAACGTCAACGATTTGCATAATTGTCCCGACTGTGATCGTGCATTCAATCGACGGAGCAACCTCCTACGTCACCAACGCACTGTTCACGCTCCAACGCCGGCAGTAGCATGCCCTCTACCTGCGCCTAGAGTAGAGCCATTGCCTGAACCCATACCAGGACCATCATCAGCCCCATATACATCACCACTACAACCAACAGTTCAACGTGAGGAGATCCGTCCAGCAGGTATGTATTGTTCTTCTTTTGTTTACTATCCTTGTCTTTGATATTTACTAACAGGTAATTACATTATTCAAAAATAAACCAACAAACTACTTTTAGAAGTTGTTGCAATTATTTATTTTTTTCTTAAAACAAACTAAATTATATCCATTAAACATATTTAAAAATGCTAAACTCTACTAAATTTTTTTTAACCCAAAAACCAAGTGAAATAAAGATTACTAATATATATCATTAATATAATATAGCTAAATATGATTCTGAAACAGTAAATGAAATTAGGCAAAAAAAACATGTAAAATAATCATTAATATTTATCCGTCTGTGTAATATGCGTACTAATGTTTTTTTTCAGGACTATTCGTGTGCGAGACGTGT